AGTTGATTTACATCTTGACATTTTCAATTATTATTAATTTAAAAAACCAAACTAATTCTGATCAAGTTTTCTTATCAAGGTTTGTTTAGAATTAAATTAAAGATAATTCCAGTTAGTCTTTATACAATATATACAGTAGGTATGGCAAAAATGTGGCTCATAATCTGTATGCAGCTCTTCCAAATTGTTCGTACAGCTTGCAGGAAAAAACAGGAACAGATTAAATATACAGTATCTGTTATGTGGAAGACATGAACCATAAACCTTACAACATCCAATCCATGCTTGTTTGCGGCTCCTGAACTTCTGAAAATTATGTGTGGCTCTGACATTCAAGAATTTTGTACATCCTTGGTATACATTTTTATTTATTTATTTTTTTTTACACTGATATGTTGGGTTTTTGGACTTTATCCATCGTCCTGGTTTTTAAGATAACAAATAAAAACACGACGTTCCGGAAACTGGATCTGTTTCCGTCCTCAGGTGAAGGAAAACACCTATTCTGTTGGGTCCGTTAGAAAGAGCTAGCCTCAATCACTGGTCCAGTGACTGACGATGGACGATGGATAAAGTCCAAAAACCCAATATATCAGTGTGTTATACACCATCGTCAGAATCCTATAGTAACTATAAGAAGAATGTCTGGCTCTATGTATGATGTATGATGATTCTGGACCAGTGATTGAGGCTAGCTCATAAATTAATTATTATGAGAATAGGTGTTTCCCTTTTCCTTCACCTGAGGACGGAAACAGATCCAGTTTCCGAAACGTCGTGTTTTTATTTATCTTAAAAACCAGGACGATGGATAAAGTCCAAAAACCCAATATATCAGTGTGTTATACACCATCGTCAGAATCCTATAGTAACTATTTTTTTTTTTAATTTTAGGTTCTGAAGGCTCACATCTTGTAGGTTTTCACATTACTCATAAACCTAATACAAATGACATCTAAAGGCTTGTGACAGTGTGTTATACATGTACTTATAATATGCCACCAAACAACTTTGTAAAAGAACTCTAATTCACTTTTGCCACCATCAACCAAAATATTATGCTAGGTAAACCTTTTACTGTTTTGCAGTCTTTTAAAAATATAAATAAATATCTTAGTTCACATTCACACTTTTTAAGTATACATCACCACACAAAACTGTAGGACCCTGTACTGAATGGAACTAGCTTTGCTGTCACCTCACAAAGCAGCATAGCTACCATGCAGTTATCACTGCTAACAGAGAATACCATGTTTCATACCATGGCTGCCACAAAAACTTGTTTAATTACTATCTCCGCTGCTGATGTATGAATGAGACACACAGTTCACTAGTAAGTCTGACAAAGGAATTGTGGTCCTTCTCAACCTTAAAACACACAATCTTTTACAGTTACCATAAAAGTTATTTTCTGTTAAAGCAAAAACTCTGAAATAAGCATGAGTATTTAAAACTCAAATTCACACTTCCTGTTAAAACTTCCTTACTGGAAGTATGCATAACAGCAACTTGAAGAATACCGTTTTGACAAATTCATAACAATTCTTATTTAGGTATCTGGACTCAAATTTTCAAGACTTACATACACCACACCATCACACTGAGATATCACATTATGGAGTCATACAATTAATAGAATTGTGCCACACATGCACACAAACATGCGCTGCTTCTGTTTCGAACATAACAGTATATTCAGCTGGCACTTTCTTCATAAAATAAAAATAAAAAATGTTACAAAAATGAATGAATGCAGAGATATGAATGCAAAATTAAAACAGCATTTTTCAACTGTTTGCAGTTTTACTTTCTATCAAAAGCTTTAAAAAATGTCACCCACCTCCATTTTTGTATCAGAATACCAATACTGTTTTTCTGGGGGAGGGGATAAACACCATAAGGCAACTCAAATTATCTTCCTAGTGTTCCAAACTATCTATGACAAGACTCTTAAAAAAATGCAACAAAATGTTGAATGTTATATATAAACTCAAAGAATGTTTCCTAACCTACTGAAATTCACTATGTTTCTACACACATGAAAATGGTATTCAATTTCTTCCAAGATTTTTCATAACATACTGCACTCAATTTTTCCCACGATTTACCTGCTCAGTGAGGCAAGTTGTCTCAAATTGTTCACACTGTCAACCAGTCCTTTTGCTGAGAGAGACTTGGAAAATTTACCTAAAATAAGGAATAAGACTGGGAAAATTATCTGGCCATGAGAACTTGCTAACTAAGGAACGTTATTTCATTGTGAAAATGCACTCCAGCCTGCTGGAACATTGTGTTCCATTTCTCCTCTAACAGTTCATAGCCACAAGCTTTATGTAAAGCGGACTTCAAACAAGGCATATACATAATTACTGCAGCTGGCCAACCTGTACTCTCCTTGGATGCACATTCAGTAAGTGCAAATGAAAGGCTGTGCCATAGCTCAAGCAGTTAGTTGCTGGCTTCCAACTGCGGTGGCCCGGGTTTGGTCAAGTGGGATTTGTGGTGGACAAAGTGGCGCTGGGGCAGGTTTTCTCTGAGTACTTCGGTATCCCTGCCAATCTTAATTCTACCAAATTCTCCATCATCATTTTCACCTGGGGCATGTACAATACGCCAATCAGTGGCCACCGTGCTGAGTGGACACAGTTGGACTCCACACCCCCCCCCCTAAGTGAATATCTTAACTGCAAATGAATGACACCATGCAATATGGAAGTCACATCTGCTGGCATCTTGCATTCTTCTTATAATATTCTCAATGAACAACTGTCACTGATGATTTCTCATGTACTGAGGCCACTCTGGAAACTATGCTATTAGCACAATGACAATATCACTGTCACTGTTCAACAGTTGTTTGGCTTGGCTTTCAATTTGATCTTTCTCTTCTCACAATAAATTTCTGAGACCAGAAAATTATTCTGAATTGCCCTGTGTGTGTGTGTGTGTGTGTGTGTGGGTGTACGTAATATGTCATTCCTGCATTCATTTACTCATGCACACTCCAATATTATATAGGATATATAATGTGTATAATGGGGGCAGTCTACACAACGATAATCCTGAAAAATAGACACTATCATATCAATATCTGTTTTATTTCGCTGTTAACACTACATGTTTCGGTCCTTATACTGGGCCGCCCACAAATTTCCAATATAAAAATTAAACCCCGATAAAACTTACACAAACAGCATTAACTGCATATAAAGATAAAACAAAATGGGCCACCTTCACATATATTGGCTCAGAAACTACAAACATTACTAACTTATTTCGGAATACAAACCTTAAACTTGCTTATAAGATGACTAATACAATTAAACATCATTGAAGCCTGAAGGAATACCAGGAGACGTATATAACCTGAGTGGTATATACCAGCTACAATGTGGTGAATGTCCATTCAAATATATCAGACAGACAGGACGCACATTCAGTGTCTGCCACAGAGAACATATAATTGCTATCAGGACTAATAAACAAAATTCCAAATTTGCACTACACATTTTGGAAACTGTACATACATATGATACAATGGACCAGAACATGAAAATAGTACATACAGAAGGAAAGTGTAACGCCGTGTCTGCATTATGTCCCCCCTTTCTTACTACCTTCCCCCTTCCAACGTTCCACTTCCTGGTTCCCATCAGCTGAGGTCCACCGTGAGTGTTCCATTCTGTTGCGGGAGCTTGAACTGTTCAGTCGATTCACTCTTCTCCTGGTCTGTACGATTGTGACTGGTTGATTGTCAGAGGCCTATTACCTCCAGGGACTTACATTGTATTCACATTTATTATTTAATATACATATTATCATTTGATATATTTGTTATAGCGTCTTTAAGTTGGTACGTCCTACCCAAAAACCAAATTTCGGTCTTCAAGACCTTTTCAAGTTTCAAAAGGGACCCAAAATTAACACATTAGAAATATATCATATACACGACATAATGAAGAAAGGTCTACATTTGAACGATACATTTACCAATATGCATAATCCCATATTCGATATTCTAATAAAAACACACACACACACCAAATATCCCCACCCCTTCAAATTCAATTTATGCATTTAAAACTCAAAAGAACACAATATGGATCCATATTGAAATTAGATGTAATTCAAGAACTAGGACTAGTATCATTGTACACCTGATGATGGCCCAATATAAGGGCCGAAACATGTAGCTCCAACAGCAAAATAAAACAAATGTCAATACGATAGTGTCTATTTTATTTTTCAGGTATATTGTTGTGTACACTGCCCCCATTATACACATTATATATATCCTATATATGGCACACAACAGGATGCATACTATTAAGATCCAATATTATAATCACACAGACCTGTTGGTTATCTTTAGATTCTCTTTATATACTTGTTCACAGCCTTTTTTATGTATGCATATTTCTTTTACACAAAATAATGCTCTTGTAAAAATCTTACAGTTTTAATAAACACAAACAATTATCTAATTACCCTTAGACAAATTGAACTGCTCCCATTTTTAACATATTTGAGGTAGTTTGGTTATATAACTTTGATATCCCTTAAATAAAGGGAAGAAGCGTATTTCAATGTCTCATAATTACCAACAAATTGTTAATGATGTAGGAAATAGGCACATAATAACAAATATTAACCTTACTGTAAGACTCGTAACTTTAAAAATAAATATCATACTTGTGAAGCTCAAAACCTGGTTTAAAGCATCCAATCACAGTGGAGAAGCAAGAAAATAAAATATGTTAAAAAGATGTGATTTATTAAAGTACGGTGAGTATCTAATATTGTTCTTTCACAGGAAAAATTCTTATTGATAGTTTACATCACCTATACACAGTATCAGCAAAATTGCATAAGGGTTCAGGAACTGAATGTATCTTAGCTTACTTCACAACACTCTGTAATTTGTGTACGATAATAATGACAAAACACAAGATGAATGTAAATAATGAATTAGAAAAGATATGGACGGAGAACATTACAGCTTATTTTAAGTTAGTATCTCAGCATCAGTCTGTAAGAAAACCACACACATCACAATCAGGACAGACAGTCTCTAGACCAAGATCCAAACTTGGAACTTTCAAAATGTGAGACAGGAATGTCTAATGTATTTCTCATTCTAATTCTTTCAAAATACAAGTAAAAATCATTCACTATTATTTAGCCTCACATATCACATTTCATCTTACCACATAATTATTCTTGTATATACCTCAAGTGAAGCATAGTTCACAGTTGCATTTTTCACAATTTGTTTCTGTACTTTCTACACAGCCCCCCCATCATAGGGACAGAACCTTTTTGTGATGTAGAGGACTGCAAGCAACAATGAAGCAAAGTCATACCAGTGTGCTGCAGCTACTGGTGGGACACAGCCCTTGCTGGACTGGCTGAACATAAGCAGCTACATAAAGAGTGTGCCAGAACAGATAAAGCAACTCCAATAGCAACAGTAAAGGCACACTTCCCACAGAAAGAACTCCCCCCCCTTCTCACGTGCGCGCACACACACCTACCAGTCTGGAAACAGAAAGATGACACTAGACATTCCCAGCACAGCAACAGTAATGCTATTAGGGATGATTTTATTATTCAGACTCAAGGGATCAGTGATTAGGAAGAATGAAGGAATTAATATGGTTACAAGACGTGGAATGTTACAGGAGCAGTAAACAAAATACAATGCTTAGTGGAAGAATTGGCTGCCAGTTTGTAGATATAGGAGTATAAATGGGAACTTGAACAGAATAAATAGAACATTATTTCAACATTTTTAGGTATTCCTCAAGAAAAACAGGAAGTGGCAGGACAAGCCAATTTAATAAAAGGTTGGCAAAACATATTTCACAGCTATAATTTGTGGATGAATGGATTATCATCTTGCAACATTAAATTAACAGGCATTATACAATAATAATAATAGGTGCCCATAGGCTGGCAGAGGAGAAAAGTTGATAGATCACAGTTCTATAAACAGCAACACAAACAAGTCATTAAATTCAGTAGAAACATCTGCTGATGCAAAATTTTAGTAGGAGCTATGAATGCCATATCTGACAATCAACTAACCCAATGAGAAGCTGAAACCAACACTGAGCCAACAATTAATTACAATGGTAAACAATTAATAGAATTCATGATATATAATGAACTAAAAATAATGAATAAATTAAGACATTCAAAATGTACTTGGACAGCAAAGGATAGCATAACAAGTATGACAAACAAGAAAACACCATCAGGTATAAAAGATGTATGTTTATAAAAGCAGTTTTTTACACCGAGATCACTGATTAGTTGAAAAAGGGATATTACTGCCAGCAAAACAGAGAAAGCACAAAACCAAATACATTCAAATAAATAAGTGCTTAATGCTGAAAGACAAAAGTAATAAACATTTTCTTTCTGCAAGAGAAGAAGCTGTTTTGAAGAGACCCATGAGCAATAACATCAGAAAATAAATATAATTTTAAAAATACACTAATGAAGCAACAGTAAAAAGGTAAGAACATAAAAGAAATGGGCATTTAGAATGAACAACAGAACTAATAAAAGGTAAAAAAATCTTGAAGCACATAGAAATAAATTCTGGAGAATCTCAGAAGGGCTGTGACTAAAAGAAATATAGCAGAACAAAAAATTAAGAGAATACCTACAGAAAGCTAGGAAATGGAAAACTGTATATGGCTATAGAATTCTGAAAGAACTGAATAAGGATGAGAAAGAGACAAGTGATATAAACCAAATATCAGAAACAATAATTGCTGACTGAAGAATGAACTCATAAAGAGAACGATCACCAATATAAATACAAGAAGGCACAGATCCGTATCCTATGGAAGAAATCATGGAAATCCTTAAGATCTTCCAAAACATAAAATCTTCTGGACATGACAATATAAATATACTGAAACCTTCAAGTACGTCCCAAATTTGCTATACAAATTTTTAAATTTATTGAAAATATGTTTAATGACAGGGAAAAGAGTGCAATATAGTACTTGTTAAATCTGTTTTTAATAGGGATGAAAGCAGCAACTGTAGTATTTATAGAGGCAGTATTCAAGTGAATTCAGGACATAAAATACGTGAAAAATATTGATAACAGCACATACCAACCTATTAGTAGAAAAGGCTGAATTTTGGAGAGATCAATCAATATTAGATTGTGAGTAAATATACAAGCTAAAATGAATTCTGAATAGTTTTATTGTTATTACATATTCTACAATTACTGATAAATGTTTACATGCTGTCCATTATTTACTACGATCCATCTAACCCGGCCTTCGAACTCTGAGACAAAACTGTTCAACGCAGCTGGAGGGATTAAAGTCACAGCATCAGCAACGTAATGCTGAGTTCTCCAGGGTCCCTTGGTTTGCTGCTGCAGATTTTACTTTTTAAAATCTCAAGGTACAAAATGCTGCTGATGGTTAATTCACCAACCTACCAGTCCACAGGTTTGTGAACGTGATACGCACATCAAATATTTACTTTAAGTGAATCTCTCTTTTATCCCCACAATTCATTCAAATTTTCTTCTTTCCATATCCTATTACTGCAATGATTTAATCCTGCCTGTTAAATTAAATATTGCCTCATCATTAAAAATGAGTTTTGATAGAAGAAACATTCAGAGATATTGGGTTTTCGGACTTTATCCACCGTCATGGATTTTAAGATAACTAAGAAAAACCTGAGGACGGAAACAGATCCAGTTTCCGAAACGTCGTGTTTTTCTTAGTTATCTTGAAAACAAGGACAATGGATAAAGTCTGAAAACCCGATATTTCTGTGTTATACACCATCGTCAGAATCCTATAGTAACTAACTAAAAGAAACATTGTCTCATGCTAGTAACCAGGCATGGGGTTTGGACCGCTAACTGAATTTACTGATGGTTCATAACTCATATAACAATACCACTACACACTTAACAAATTACTAGCACAAGATGCCTCCATCTCTCACAGTCTTCATTAGTCATTACTTGGTTTTGGTTCCCAACAATGGAGATTCTTCTGTTCTCATGCTTATGTCATTGCTGGCTGGCTACTAGTTCACAATTAACTCTCTCAATGGTTGACAATCGACTGACTGCTAAGTTGCTATAAAGTCGAAGTCAAATCAAGACAAATTTATGTTTCAACCAATGGTCAATCGGCCAGTCTGTCTTGGTGTCAAGAATCCATCTTGAGCCCAAGACCAGATTTTTGTTACTGTCAGACAGCTGTGGATCTCCCTCTCTAATGTGAGGATTGGTCTGTTAAAGTGAAGTTACAACTGATGGTCAGTCAGTCAATCTTAGTGTAAGACCAGATTTTTGTTACTGTTAGACAGCTGTGGGGTTTACTGACATGGGGCACCCTTTCAGATGAGAGGACAGGTCTGTCATTTACAACTGCTGCTGGCCCTAGCCAGCGCAGTCATTCTCGAGTCAGAGTCCTGCAGAACTCGTGATCATATTTTACTGTCCAAGAGTCAACACTCCCTCAACCTAGAGGGTCACGTCCCTGTATTTATATCCACCATTTTCATTGCCTTCTATGACTTGCAGGGCTACGGTGGAGGTATTTGAATCTACCTCTACACAGGATGGATGGGTCTGTCATTGCTGGCCCTCACTATATAGCCTTGACAAAGACCACACACAAAACAACCCCCTCCCCCAACAATTCTTCCACTTCTGCATGTATGCCTGTTGCCTTGGAAATATGTTTACCCAGCCGTTACCATGCAAACAAGTTTAATCATGTCAGATTGCTCCCTCCTTACAGCTGCCCATCTCAAGTAGCCCCAGGGCGTACTGCCATTTCTCGTTCTGGTTTGTGGGGAGACAGCTTTCAAAGGTGGCTGGTGCTCCTACAGCACTAGCACATAAGCCATCGGTAGTCTCTTCTTTTATTTGGGTGGGGCCTGGCTCCTCCACAATGTCCTGACACTTTTTTTCCAGGGTCTGGCTGCTAGGAACATGGGCCTTCAGCTTGATGGCTTGCCTTGTTGACTGTTTTCTCACTTCCCAGAAGTAACTGCTATTTTATGCCTCAGTGTCTTATCCCATTGCTGAATGCCTTGAGTGGGCCCCTGTGAATGTGGTCCTCATGTAATGAAGAAAATGCAGAGTGGGTTGACTGCTCAATGGCAGTAGTACCCACCTACACAGGCTCACCATCATCTTGGATCTGTCTTTTCGGTTGATTTTAGGCATCCTAGGGCCCAATGTTGGTTCCAAATTCATCCTCAGTTGCCCTGTCTCCTCATGTCCCTCCTTTAGGGACTCTGTGTAGAACTAGCCTGGTCCTGTAGGGTAGTAAGAATGTGCATGACTTCTGTGCATGGTGCCCAGGTATAGTTCTCTAACAGTGCCTCTTTCTTTTCTTGACCGGCCTCCATTAATCCTTGGCTGGTGCTCACTGTGACCTGTCTCTTATCTTGATGGGCCTTCATCATTTCACAACTGGCTTTCGTTTCTTCTAAGTTGGTTTTCATTTTGGCACTCATCTGTTCTTGGCTGGCTCCCACCTCTTCTTGATGGGATTTCATTTCTTACAGACAGGAACCCATCTGGGCCAGCAGGAATTCCATCACCTGTTCCATTTTCATAGTATGGCAATACAGCAGTCTAACAAAGTCTTCAATCTGATCCAATTAATCTCACTTGACACCTGCTGTCACATTAGGGACTAGGCACAGTGTTCTGACAGGTAACTGGATATACTGAAGGCTTATAACTCGTAATGACAAACAATTATAACACTACCACTAATCTACACTTAACAAATCACTATAGCACAGACTGTTTCTGTCTGTTATAATCTTCACCAGTCACTGCTTAGTTACAATTCCCAGCAATGGATAACCTTCAACTCTCATGCTTATGTCACTGCCAGTTGGCTACCATCTCACAACTGTCAACTCTCAACAAACTAACTTCAAAGTCAAAGTTATGTCATGACTGCCAGTCAGTCAGCCAGTCTGTTATGGTGCCAAGCCCCATCTGGGCCCCCTCTTTGATGACGGGATGGGTCTGTCATTTACAATTGCTGCTGGCCCTCACTAATGCAGTTATTCTTGGGTATGAGTCCTGCATCACTCATGACCATAATTTAATGTCTCAAAGTTGCAACTCCCACAACTTGGAGGGCCAGGTCCCTGTATCCTCCAGGAACAGGTTGGCCCAGTTATAACCCCCCCCCACATCTTTTGCTGCCTTCAACTTACTGGGCTACAGTGGAATTTCAGATCTGTCTTCACTAAGTTCAGTTGGTCAATCAGTTAAGTTGCTGCTGGTCTTCACCAGCACAGTCATTTCTGGTTTCAGTCTCCTTGAGATCTATAATCAAGATTTTTATTGAAGAAAGCAGTCTTCTGGGATGTGGCGCCATGTAGATATTGTGTTAACCGATGTTTCAGAGGAACGTATCGCCTCCATCTTCAGGGTAGAAGAAAAATAGCTAATAGCACCTACTCACACTGATTCTTCACTTGTGGATTTTCTTCTTTTTTCTTCTACCTTG